ATGGTTAAAGATTATAATTAAGTTCTTTGAATTGTATTCGTCAGCATGAGTACTAGCTTGCTTATGTAAATGTATTTTTTGATTACTTAATTATGAATTATTAACAACATACCATTATTTTAAAAATATTTTGGATACATACTATTAATTACTGTTTCCCATTCTCTTAATTAAGAAAAATATTTAATAGATCACTCTATATATAAATCTATTGAGAATCTAATTACATCTATTTTCTGTGAAATCAATAATCTGCTCCATCAATGGTCAAGGAAGTGTAAAAGATTTTATTTGTTTACCGAATTCAAATATTGGATAAATACAATTATTTTATATAACCTGAATTTTAATTTTAAAAAAAAATCTGCTAATTTACATATGATGTGAAATTTCTTAGTATAAAGGGTTATATCTGTTTCATTTTGTCAACCATGAGTTAAAGTACATTCTTTTAAAAATCAAGATATAATTTTATTTATTTATTTTATTTTTAATATAATAAATATTGATTACTTAACAGAGATAGAAAACATAAATATGAAGAGTACATAATACTTCTTCGGGCTCTTTTTACTTGCCAAATTTTAACTTGACACACTTATTAAGAAAAATAATAATTGGTGCAGTGGGTTTACTATTTTAACCTATTAATTGATGGAGTCCCAGATATATTTACTCACTACACTTTTTAAAAATATCAACTCAATATTAATAAATTGAGGGTATAATATTGTTCCTTGATTAATTAAAAATAACAAGTAAAAAGAAAAATCAAATTAAAAAATATTTGAAAAGTAAATAAGGATGGATAGAGTATCAACGCTATGCTTATTTTGACTGGATCAATCTTAGTTTTTTTTTTCTATAAATAAATACCTATACAACTTATTAAAATATAAATAAATATAATAATTATTATTATTTTTAAAAAAAATCTCTTCTTATTAGGTACTTCTATATGGCTTTGTTTTGGGAAGTGCAAAAGCTTAGATATTTTTGGGAACCAATATCATTACCTTTTAATTTGACAAAGAAACAATTGTTTAATTCTACATTTTACTCAAATGAAGGTGTTTTGTTTGCGGATTAAGTTAATTCAAAGATTGTATTTTTTTGAATTGTAATTCTAATAAAATTTATTTCTTAAATCAAATAAAAAAAAGAGATAAAATAACATCAAATTTGACAAAATAAGTTGTGATATTCAGAATTAAATTTATACTTTATTTGATTAAAGATATAAATCTTCTCTCAAATTTAATTTTGAAATAAATCTAATCACAAATTTAATTTTGAAATATCCCACGAACCAAACAACCCAAATAATTTAGTTTACACACTATATATATATATATATATATATATTTTATGAGTGTCACAAGTTACATGCTTACCTGCTAAATCATATTTTATAGTGCGTTATACTCTCTGTACAGAATAAAGCATGCCAGAGTATTATAAAATAAAGTAATTAATTAGATAAGACAAACAAATTATAATATCTTGTCAGAAGCAAAAAGGAATTATTATATTATCTCATATTATACCGTCTCCAAAAGAATTAGTAATACAATTTGTATACTAGTAACTTTACGAATAATTGCTTAACTTTTTTTTAATAAATTTAATTAGTAAATTAATCTTTTGTCAAAAAATAAAATCATACAATTTTGCTTAATGGAAAATTGTAAAAAAAAAAAATTAAGAAATATAACATTCAACTAAGCTTAAATATCATGAAGTCACTTGATCATAGAATTAAGACATGACCATCAAAGGATGTGGTGAGAGTTATTTCATTCGAGTTATAAATATGCAAAAGATTCTTCATATGGAACGCTTCCCTCCGAATAGAGTCTTATATGGCGTGAAATCAAATTAGTCAGACTTTAATACGAGTACCACACATTAAATGATTTTTTTTATTTTTGTATTTTAAAAAAAAAACTAAAACGTGTCACTCAAATAATTTGATGGCTTTTTAGGATAATTAAATAAAATTGAGTAACTTTTTGTTATCATAAAATACATAATTTAAGTAATAATTTTATGAGACTTTGCTAAAGTTGGAATACCTTTTACCTCAATTAGTGTATTGATTCCCCACCACGTTTTTTTTTCAAGTGCAATTTTCGAGTTGAAATTCTTTTGCATTTAGATTAAGGTTTCATTTGTTTACACTTTTAACTTAATCTTAAAAAAATAGACCAATAAGAAGTGGGTTATATTTAATAATTTAAGGGATTAAATGTGTTGAAGAATAATTAATGAGATGGAACATAGATCTACCCCAAAACTTAAAGGGTCACTTTATTAAATAAACTCACGCGAAACCAAGAGAGAAAAGAGAGAAATGTTGGAGATAGAGAATGATGGGTCATCAAATATTTTTTTATTTTCTTAAATTTTATAATAAGTTAAATTATGTTATTTTTTAAAAAACGAAGGGAGTACTATATAACTACAAATGAAATAAAATTGCGAGACACAATTCACTCAAAATAGGAACAAAGAAAGCATCTTTTTGTGATTATCTAAAAAAAGCATGCCAAGTCAGTCCCTCTTTGACACTATTAAAATGAGTTCAAATATAAAATGATTTGTCTAATCTATTTAAAATATTATGGATTGACTTAAGATAATTTAAATTGAATTACTTTCAATTCACCCTGGCCTTGATTCATTTTTAATTGATCTTCCATTAAACTTAATTTAATTTTCAAATTAATTTGTTTTAAGTTTTTTTTTATTTGTATTTGTGCTAAATAATGTATGAAGTAATATCTATTTTATATCTTCTAAGATTTATCCATTAATTTATAAATTAAAATTTTAGCTTTCTAAAGTCAAAATAATCAAAGAAATTAAACTCTATTTTTTTTCTTCATAAAATACATGTTGTCTCCAATTTCTCCATCATTCTCACATTTTACCTTATGTTGTTTTCTTTTCATTTTCTATCTATGATATGATCGTTGCTATTTTTAAGTTTTGAAATTAACGAAAATGTCTGGTCTACCCATGAGTTTCAATACTAACTGATATTTATTCATTTTTAGTTTTATATGTTGAACCACAAATGAGTATATATTGTTTTAGTGCTTGGATAAAACAATCTTAACTGAGATCGGAGATTATTGTAATATGAATATATTGGCCATTGGGCTTTCAACTTTGTCAATTGTGAAAATACTGAAAATTGAATTGTTTTTCAAATGACTCATCATTTTTTTTCTATATATATAATAAAAAAACACAATAAAACCCATGCATATTCTTTGAGCCTCAGATGAGTATTTTTTTTGGTAATTAATTAAACGTATCAATACGATCAATGAGTATTTTATACATTTTACCTTTACTTGATTGAAACTGATCTTTATTGTTGTTGTAGTAGGAATAATATTAAGTTATATAGATCAATGATGATTCGTGTACGATTCAATCATTTGAGTGTATGATTTAAAATTAGGAATGATATTTTGTCACTTGTTAATTAAATATATTTTTAAATTATGAATTATTGACAATATATATCAATTCATAAATAATTTCTGGTAAGATAAGTCATACAATTTTGCTAAGTATCATGCGAAATTATTATATTATTCTTTGTAATGAAAAACATCATCCAATTAATGCTTAAATACCACATGAAGACACTTGATCATAGAACTAGATCGTGCCACTTAAATAATTTGATGACCTTTTGAGATAGTTAGATAAAATAGAGTGATTATAAATATATAATTTAATAATATTTTATAATACTTTCCTAAAGTTCAATAACTTTTACCTCAATTAATGTATGTGATACCCCACACCCACCACTTTGTTTTTTATGTGCAATTTTTTTTGTTGAGTCGCAAAATTGATTTGAAATTCTTTTGCAATTAAATTAAGGTTCCATTTGTTTACGCTTTAAGTGACATTAAGTATAGATTTAATTTCATTGAGTCGCATAAATTGATTTGAAATTCTTTTGCAATTAAATTAAGGTTCCATGTGTACTTTAAGTTGCATTAATTATAAATTTAGTTTCAATCTTAAACTATTAAATATATATTATTTTTGTTCATGATCTAATTATTTAATGTGTTTAAAACTTTAAATAGATCTAATTTATTAAAAATTGTAAATAACGTTTTAACATTATTAAGAATATATTTTTTCCTATATGGCCTTTCACCATCATTATATTCATAAATAATAATCACCGCTAGATGTATTTCTTGCATTTCATTTTACTTAGTTTTTTATTATAAAAATATAACCTTTTTAAATCTATTTTAGTAAATCAAAACAATTTTATTATTACATTTCTTCATACCATTTTTAATATTAAATAACTAAATAAAGTAATACTAGTCCAATTTAGAGTTTTAAATCATCATTAATAAGATTAGTTTAGTAATATACTCCATACTAGTAAAAACCTTCATAAAAATGGTATCAAATCAACATAGTCCAAGTAAAACAAAACATATAAAATATTGCATAATTATAATCGTTAAACATTATCACCACCATGACACGAGCGACACTCATTACTACTAATCACCTCCACAACTATACAAATATTAATCAATCATTACAATCAACTATATTATTACTATTGCGGATCATAAACCATCTCGACGATCACAACCACCCATTCATTCCTATTCTTTACCACCCATCACCACTTTACAAACTTGTAAAATTTAATACATTTCAATATTGAAGCAGTTAGATTTAATGAATATAAAGTATTAAATGTGGTGAGAATAAATTAAATGAAAGAGAAAATAAAAGTACCCAAAACTCAAAGGACGAATTTATTTATTAAATAAATAAATAAACTCACGCGAAACAAATGGAAAGAAAAGGGAGAAATGTTGGAGACAGAGAGTGATGACCCCATCAAATGAGGGCCACTATATACTCTCTGTCACTGTAATGGACGCATCTCTTCGAAAAAAATATTTATATATTTAATTTTATCTAACTAAAGAAGAAAGAAACTTGCGGGACACAATTCTTCCCAAACATTTAATAAATTGCTTCACCCACTCTAAACGGAAACGGAGAAAGCAATTTATTTTTTTGTGGTTATCTGAGAGACTGAGACACATCAGTCCAGTACAGTCTCTGTTCGGCACTTTCTTCCGTATAGAATAGCACTCATCAGTTTTATATCTACTTTTTTTCTCTATTTTTTTTTTCATTTTCTATTTGCTGAACGGTCATTTTTATGTTGTGGTTTTACGGATATGGCTGATCTGTCCATGGATTTCGATACTAACAGGTTTTTTTTTTTTTTTTTTGATTTCATGTGTTTTTGTTGAACGATTATATTTGTTCTATTGCTTAGATGGAGTAACAATGGCTGTATTTACACTTTGTCGGTGTCAAAATGCTGTGATTGTATTTTATTTTGTTGATCTCTACTTGCTTGTGATTGAGTTATGTTCACTTGCTTGGATTGAGTATTGTGGTTGTTGTAGGAATATATAGTTCAATGGTGTATTTCAACTTTATTAGTCCTGAAAATGATTTTTTCTTTTAGTTTGACTATCATTTTTATTTTTTAATTTTAATGTGATTTGTTTGAGCCCTAGATGAATATATTGGGGGTTCTCTGTGATGATTTATGTAGTTGACTACAATTTTGGTGAATTATAATGATGTTATTGTTCTAGTTTGATTGTTCAGTTCTGTAGTTCATTCGTTTTCTTTGAACTTCAGAAGAATATATTGTGTGATTACTTGAATGGAGCATCCTGATTAGTATAGTTGTCCCTTACTTGCTTGATATTGAGGCATTGTTGTTGTTATTGTATTAATAATATATAGGGTTATTGTTCTCATATGAATGGCACCCGCACTGCTGCTAATTTCGTCTAGTGACAAAATGTTATGCTTTTTAATTTGCATTTTGTATCTGTCATGGGTGATTATGCCTCACACATTTCCCACATTTATGTTTCCCACTCTATGTATCAAAAAGCATATGTAAATTTCAACTTAAAAGATTAATGATTCTTTCATGAAAAATGAGATTTCGTCAAGTAATTCTTTATACATGTTAAGAGGTTGTCTTAACATATATATTTATGATAAATAGCAAGTTTAGAATTGAACGGATTCATTGTTTTCTTTGATGAAACTATAGCAGCGAGATATGGGATTGGCAATGTGGAGAAACTTTTCTTCAAGACAGTGAGAACTTTGGTAAGTGTAGATGCTTTCTCGTTTGGTTATAAGTGCAAAAGATAGTTAAGTGGAGTCATCCATGTTAAACAGGGCTGCAGCCTCAAACAGACGTATCAGGATGTCCATGGACTGGTGTAACTGAAAAAAACAAAGATATTTCCTACATGTTTGATGATGAGACAACCCCGGTAAAGGACTGTGGTGAGTTGACTTCCAATGTCAAGGGTACAGGATCCAAATATAACAATTATCTTTCTTCTAATACTCAGCATGTTTGAGGCATCTTATCCTGATTTAAGTGGTTTGATCCAGATGTTACAAGTAAGCAATTGGAGCAGTGCAGAGAACCTTCTAAACCGGTAAAAAGACGTCGAGTGCTACAATTTGATGCTGAGATCTTGGATTCCACTGGTTCAAACGAAGAGCTTGCGTTAACTTTCTTAAAATCTAAGGTTACTACTACTACCTTTTGCTATGTGTTTTGAGTTGTCTAGTATAGCACACTTCTAATCATACTTTAGCATAAATAATGTATGTTGTTTCCTACACGTGAACCAAGTTAACTTTAACATTAATAATGTATGTTGTTTCCAACACATTAAACCAAGTTGGGCGTTTTGTTAAGCCAACAGTTCAGTGGTGGAATTCGCTCCGTAAGGAAACCTCTTGTGACAAATGCACCTTTTCAGTTCTGCTTCATTTTACATGTTTATGTTACTACGTAATGCAGAAAAAGTATCTGAGGAAATGATTTCTATAAAACTGATTTTACATGGAAGTTGGATAATGCAGGAGAGGAATGCATATTTTGAAGAAGCTAGGAGTGATGTGTCAGACTGGTTTTCCGAATGTGCAGGTCAGTCTCTGCTACATTTTTGTAAAGTTATATCTGCTTAATTTGTTAAATTCGTTATTGACAGAATACATTTTTCTAGATGGTGCAACATCTTCGGCTCAGGAAGGTTTTGATGAGTCATCTGAAGAATGGCTTACTGATTGCATTAATGATCCTGAGTTGCAGATTATTTCCGAGGATATGTAACTTTTCATCCTTAGCTTTCCATGCTCATAATGACTTTTAGTTATGCTATGTGTGCTCTGCTCTTACACATTTATTTTAACAGGAATGCATCTGGAGTATCTGATGTTCAAGCAGACACAATGGGTAGGGAATCTCTCTTTCCATTGAGAATGTTCTTTTTCTTTTGTTCTTCCTTTCTTTTTGGTCTGGCTCCTCTATATTCATCATGTGCTGGTGTTCTCGTCTTCCTTTTCATGTTATTCTTGTTTAATATTTGATTGATGTCAGCTTATCTGTTGCAGAAGTTGTCAATTCCCCACCAGAATGCGATATAACTATGGTTAAAAGCAGTCCTGCTCGTACTTATGGAAACATTGTTTTCAAAGGTTAATACTTTATCTATGATTACACTCTTACTTTATTCAAGGTTACACTTATCAATCATTGAGTCTCAAATAGCTGCGTTGAATTCATTACATTTTGAAAAGAACCCCTGTGATAACATTGTCGATACTGGCTGCTACTGAGCTCCTACACTTAACTGACTATGCATCCAGGTAGGAATTCATACACAAAGACTCCCAAGAAAGGTGCATCTTCTGTAGTTTACCCATTTGGATTTATCAAACCCTGCAGCGCTCAAGGAGATGTGACTTTAAAAGAGATCAACAAAAAGATATGTACTCCGCCACCCTCTAAATCAAAGCAACACAATCAAGATCCACCACCTTATCCGACTTCAGCTTTTTCCGGGAAGCCTGTCATTGGCAAGACAAAAATTCACACAGAGGGTGGAAGAGGCAGCATTACCATCATGAGAACTAAAGGATAATCTCTTGAAATGGTTTTTTCTTGGACAAACTTTAGCATGGGATTGCTCCAAATTCCTTTGACAGAGCAATTTTATGGTACTGTTTTAGGTCTTCTGCACATAAGTTGAATTTTGAATCAGTCTTTATTAGGGAGAAAATGTGGAGACTTAGTAGTGGATTAGTCTCCCATTATTTTGGAATCTCAATGTATATTGGTTTATTAGATGAATGACTTTACCTATTTTGAAAAATTAGCAAAAATTTTGGGTACTTATCCTTCAGGCAATGTAAGCATTATTATATCACAGGATTTCTACACATGTAATGTAACTTATGCAAGTCATTATCTAAACATGCATCTACAACTTGTCAATAGATTTTGTTAACAATATGAGTGGTATTGGTATGTCTGTTAAGTGAAAATGTCGTTGGATTAGGAAACTATGGCTGAATTTGTGAAAGTATAGTCAGAAACAGAATGAGCTGAACTCTGTATTGAATATATTGTAATAATGGGTTCAAATCTAATATTTGTTGAGTTTGTGTCAAAAGTTGTGGTTCACATGAGTCCATAGCTGTCCAAAGGGCTACATCCGCCTTTGACTGTAAAATATATTTGAAATGCTGTTGGCTTGTTGTGATATTTTGAAGGATGAAAAATGAGCTATTTCTCTGCATCGTTCGAATTTTATTTTTGCAAGGGTGAGAAATGATCTTTTCAAGTAAAAGTTACTGCATTTTTACCATCTAATCATGTACATTGATGATCCATTCGCCAGAAATTTCTTTTTGGTGTATTAATGAATGACGCAAAAAAAAAAATTATATAATTTTTTAATTTCAAAATACTACTAATGACTAAATATTAACTTTCCAAATACTTGCAATAATGTTTTGGCAATACAATCCTTGATTATGTTATGCAAATCTTTTTCCGTAGAAATTTTAGGCAGGAATTATGTTAATCTGCTCTTACAATATGATACTAATTTATCATAATGTGTAAAATTAGGATAAATATAAAAGGATTGCCATAAAATATATTAAAAAGCAAGAAATCAAGTCCAATCACCATATAATTCAAGTCTTCAACAATGGCTGTTAGATCTCAAGCTTTTTTACTTCTTTTGTTGGTTGCGTCATTGTGTCTCATTGAAGTTTCTCTAGTGAGTGAATAACTTTTACTGCTATTCCCTTTCGCATATTTTCACTTGCATTTTATATCTGAAATTCATTAATTTGACTAATTCATCATATTTTTATTGAACAAATAGGCACGTCAAGATTTTTATGCTTCACTTCTAGCAAAACCTCCTGTTGGTGAAACCACTTGCTACGTTCCTAACAATCGTAAGAACTTTTTAAATTTTGAATTAATCAATTAATCGACTTTACTCGAAGAAATTAACTAGATTATATATATTTTTTCTTCTATTTTTGTAGAATGTTCAAATGCGTGCGATAAACGATGCTCAGCAACGTCTCACAAGAACAATTGTTTATTATTCTGTAACAAGTGTTGTAATTGGTGTCATTGTGTTCCACCGGGTACTTTGGAACAAAAAGATTGTTGTTCATGTTATAGAGATTGGAAGACTCAAGAAGGAGGACCAAAATGCCCTTGAAAATCTTAATATGTTCTTTTTTTTTTTAAAATATTTCTTCCTTGTTTAATTTTTTTTTTCTTATGTTATAAATAAATATGGAGCTTATGTTTCTCTTATTTATATTTACTCTAATAAAGATTAGTTCTTTACGATGGTTATCTTATTATATACTATAAAATATGAGTTTTCATGATCGGTCTTTGCTTTATAACATTTCTCATCCTTATAATTACATGCTCCATTGCAAATTTTAGTATGATAATTGAGATCTCTTTTATATTTAATTATAGATGTTTTGAAATTAAATTTTAAGAATAAAAGAAAATTTTGTTGAAAGCACATAGAAATAAGCCTTGCAAGGCAGCTGTTTCAGATTTAGTTAGATTTCAATTTGAATACTCAAGTCCCTATTAGTACTAAATAAGAAATAACATAATAATAATAATAATAATAATAATAATAATAATAATAATAATATATAAAATTATAAGCTTTTTTTTTTCACCCTATAAAATATAAGCTTGGTGGAAGAAGAAGTGAGTAGAAAATAGGGATAAGGGTATGAAAAATATTCTAATTTTGATTTAATTTGTTATTGCAATACTAAACTTTCATGAGCACCTATTACCTTCCTAGATTATTTAATATCGTATTTTAAACATATATATTTTTTCTAGAAAATAGGAAGCCCATTTCTTCTAGATTCTTCTGAACGGCAAAATAAGTGTATTTTATTATGACATTTCTTATCATTACCATTCAAAAATGAAAAAAAAATCTTATTAAAAATATCGATTTCGCAAACTGAATTTTAATATGGATATTGAACACGATAATATAAAAAAATAAAATAAAATAAAATGTAACCTCTTCGGTGAAAGAAAAAGCAAGTCCATTTCTTCTGGATTCTTCTGAACTTTACTATAAACTTCCCTTCTCCCACGAACTCCTCACTTCTCCAATTTAATTAATTAATAATCAAATTATTAAACTTCTGTGCTCTAATTTCAATCTTAAGCTAACAAATTATAGTCCATAGTTCAATCAGGTAAGTAACCCTTTTCTTCTCTTTCAATTTTTGATTTTATTTGGGGTAGTAATTTAATCTAAATTTCCTCTTTTGGTTCCAGCATTTTTGTTTAGAGCTATTTGTCTTTAGATCTGTGCTTTGCTGTTGGAGAATCAAGAATGTCTCATATCCTTCTGATATATTTCTTTCTTTTCTCTGATTATTTAAAAATTAGAGCTTTTTCTAGTGTTATCTCATTCTCTTTCCATCCCAATCCAAGTGTTTTAGTTTGATCGGATGCAAAGTTTAAAGGAGTTTATGAATCTTGTGGTTGCAAATTAAATATGTATATAGTCCTTTGATATCTTGAACATACCATGTAGAATGGTGGAATTGGAAAACTTGCTAAATATTAAAAAAAAAGTACTCCCTCTGTCCATCAACTCTACTTTTAAAATTTTTACGTAGCTTATAAATATATAAATTTTATTTAAAAAAATTTAAAATTTCATGTCCAATTTTTCGATCAAATTTATACAGTTTGATTTTCGAAAAATGAAAAATCTCACATAAATTGAGACAAACGAATTAATAAAATTGAAAAAGTAGTCAGCATGAAGAAGTCATAGGGTTCAACATATATTTTTACATATATAACATATAATTTTAAGTTTTTAACTAATATATATTTTTGCGGGAGGACCTAGACCCTTACTAGCTCGGCCCCTGTTTCTTGGCTGCATAAAAAGTAGATTCTTTCTTATTACTACTCCTAAAAAAGGGCAGAACTAAATTTTTGAGCTTTGTCTAAACTCTAAAGTAAAATCTCATGCTGATAAAATTTGAAAATAGAGGCAAATGCAGCCTATATTAAACCGTTTAACAGAATCAGTGTTTTCGACATTGAACATGTATGTACCTGTAATCAATCATTCAATTGTGTGTTTGCCTCAGCCTGAGACCTTATCTTCAGCTTTGATTTCCAAAAGTAGGATTTTCTTTTTGGTAAGATCGATGTTGTCATACTTCAATTTGATCCCTGGCCTTAACTTAAGCTAACGCGGGAACCAGAGAGACCGAGATCGTGAAAGGGCACAAGCCAGGGGAAACCACAAGTCCAAGACACCTAAAAATGATGGATTAACCCCTGAACAACGACGAGAAAGGTTGAACCTTACTTGTTATATGCCAAAATTGCTTAATTCATGTTCCTGACATGGATGTTGTGTTCAACAGGGATGCAAAGGCACTTCAAGAGAAGGCGAAAAAGAAAGCAGCACAGGCGGGAGATGGATGGAACATAGACAAATCGGAAAGTCATAACATCAAGAAGAAATAGTTGGGAAATGAGTAAAAAAGGGGGCATGAGTTATAGATTCTTGAGGTCATTGTTCATCGTGTGTTTGGCTTTTGTACCTTTGATTTGTGTCTTGATCTGCAATGAAATTTCCTCTTGTGATTACTCTTACTCTGAAAATCTTGCATCTGATGAAATGGAGAAAGAAATATATGAATATCCGTATTATTCGTTGCTTCTATTAGGCAAAGAAATAAGTACTTCCACCTTAGGTATAATATCCATGGTTAATTAGGTCCATGTGAAGTATGAATGTGTTATTGCAAATTCGGTCATAGTTAAAGACTAATTTTAACTATTTCCCCCTGTTTTTATGTGCTATTAAATATACTTAATTTGAAAGACTTGAAGAAATAAGAACTATGTTTAGTGTTAATTTATATGGTAATCACATGGTAGGTAACAAATATATATTGATCAAAGGATTTGGATTGGCTAAGTGGTGGCTTAGTTTGAACTTGTGGATATCTGCTATAACTCAATATTAGAGTTTAATAGTTAGAGTTTAGACACAAACATAGAAACATGTTATGGGGTAATATAGTTATATTGATGATGTAAATGAGCAGGCATGATCTATGAATCGAGTGAAGATATTAAAATAGCAGATTATAACTTCTATCGAGGTTAATAGTTGAGGTGCGGATAAAGTGATATGATATTATAATAACAAAAAGATTATAAAATCAAATGATGTTATGTTATACCATCAAAATTTTAGAGGAGGAGGAGAATAGTTACTATAGAAGAACACGCGAGTATTGTTTAATATGAAAGGAAAATGTTTTTAGAATAAAATAAATCACTTATTTTATGGTGTTTGGTTAGTAAGAATAAAATATTGTTTTAGGAGCATTTTTAAATATAATCTAGGTAAATATGACACTTAACTTAGACCCCCCCCCCCTTTAACATGGACCCGAATACCTGTTATGATCCCGACTCAACCTGGCCCCTTACATCGACTTGAGACATGATCCTATTGCCGACATTGAATTAGAACTTGATTTTCAATCAAACCTTTGCATATCACTAGCTCCCGACTCCTGATCATGAGCCAATGTTCGACCTTGACCTCAAGTAGGATTGGGTCCATTCCGAGTCAGGATTGGGTCTCGAGGCAAGTTGGAAGTCGGAAGTCAAATTTGGGATCTTGAATTGGAGTCGAGAGTCAAGTCTTAGATAGGGTGTAAATACCGAAAAAAAGATTTCAAATAGAGATCAAGGTTGAGTCCAAGATCAGATTTGGATGTCGGATCCTAAAGGAGAATTTAATGTTGGATCCCGAGACGAAAGTTGGGTCTAGAATTTTGAATTGTGGTTGAGAGTTGGGTCTCATATTAGAGTCAGAAATTAGGTCCCATATTGACTCAGAGTCTGATTTGGGGTTGAGAGTTGGGTCCTCTATTAGAGTCGAGAGTTGGATCTCTAGCATTAGGTCCCAGAGTTGATGTTGGGAGACAAATCCCAGATCAAGATTCAAAAGTTGGGTTCCAAGTATGAGTTAGAGTTGTGTCTCGAGTCTAGGGTTAAATCTAGAATCGAAAGTTGAATCGAGGGTCGGGATCTAAATTATAGTCAAGTCTCAGATCAAGATTATCATTCCCTGGTTGGGGCCAAGAGTCGAGTCTCATATTAGAGTAGACAGTTGGTTACCAAGTCAGGGTCATGTGTCGAATCGGGTGGTGAAGGGAAAATAAGTCTATTTGAAAGTCATTTTTTCATAAAATGTAAGCCAATCAAAATGAGAAATTGAAAAACATTTTTACACGAAATGTATAATATAATATACTTAAGACGTAGATAAGACCATTGAGGCGTTATATCCTAAATGGTCAAGATACAAATAAGACCATCGGAGCATTATTTCCTAAATAGTTAAGATGCAGATAAGACCATCAGGACAGATACATATAAGACCATTGAAGCGTTATATTTAAAATAGTTAAACGCAGATAAGATCATCGACGCGTTATAATAAATAAAAATGTACTATTTATCAAACCATCCATCTATATATATTATTTTATATTATAAGTGAAATGATATTATGCTATACCCAAAATTTGAAAGGAAGAACAGGAGTTAGAGAATAGTTAGTGTAGAAGGACATTGTGTTTGTGAATTCATATAAATTTAGGGAGGCAAAAAAAAAAGGGCCCAAATTGACCCGAAATTGAATACCCAGCCCACTACTCTGCGAGGACGAATAGAAGAGAAAAGAAGAAAAACGAAGGAGAAGACGATCCAGGAGGGAGCATTTTCAATGATCACATATGTATTCATGTGTTTATAGAGGATAAGGACCTTGTAGAAAAGTTTAATTTCTTTCATGGCTTATCAATTTCTAGGGCAAATGTGTCCCGCTTTGAATTGAGGTACCTTGCATCAAACCAAAACCCTAGAAATTGAAGAAAGTATTTGGGGCGATCCATTGCCAGCCCCATCTGCAATTCGGGTGTAACTATTTGCAATTCAGGTATTGATTTTGGTTAACAAGCATTACAAACCCTAGAATTTGGTCTCTGTTCATTTTCGTGCAAACCCTAGATTTCATACAAGTGGTACAAATTGTTTGTTCTTTTGGGGCTTTTGTTTGTTAACTGGGAAATGTAAAGTTCCAGAATTTTCCATCTGTGGCTGTGCATTTTGCTTCAATTGTTAGGGAAGTTTGTATGTTCAGTGCTTTCCATACACAGGTTCTTAGACACAGCTTAATTTAATATGATAATTTATTGTTTCTGTGCATGTTGGTAAGTGATGCTTTGTTTTCCATGAGGTTTCCTTTCTCGTGGGACTTTATCCGATATATTGAAGCTGCTGATCACAACATGAGTGTGCTTGCCAGAAAATGAGAGAGATACGAACAGTTGCGACTAGTGCGTGAAAGATGCTCCCTTCTCGTGTCTTAGAAGTTACGATTGTAAAGTTTCTGCTTTACTGTCCAATCATGCAGGAATGAGCTTTTTCCTATAGCTGCACTTGAGAAATTGAGATATAATTGTTTTGTAGAATGAATGGTTACTGATATCTATGGACTGAAACTATAACCTAACAAATCTATGTATATGAACTGCAACTATAACCAATCAAATCTATGTAAATGCACGTGCACCCATATGCTATCTCTTTTGTCTTGTTTATAGAAAGTGTAAAAAGGAAAACGGTTATAGAATATGCACATTTAGGATCTTATTTTATGTTTTATTTTATTTTATTTCTCCTTCAGTTTTAGGTGATCTGTTATTTCATCTTCCCCTGCCATATGTCTAGTTATCCAGCATAAGCTGCTATGCCTTGTGTGTAGTTTTAACCCCAATGATTTGTTTCCCATGAATATTGTCTCTTGCTTGCATGTGGTCATGTGCTGCTTTCCCCCTCCCAACACCACCAAAGAGAAAATATTTAGCTGTAGATAGTCCATAGGAGTTGATATTGTTATTATGTGTTTGGCGACTAAGTATCATGCCATATTGTCATAAATCTGCTATAATTGTGATTCCTTCTGAAACTTTTTGTTAGATGTTTATCCCTCCTTGGAAAACGTGGTATTTTGGGATGATAACAATATGCGGATCAAAGATAAGAATTCAACTGTCTGTCCAAATCTATAGTGGATTTACGAACACAATCTTTTTTTTAGCTTAAATAAGCACTTCCGCTGACACTTCCATTTATTTTGGGATTAAAAACTGAATGTGCTAGGTATGATGTATAGGAATTTATTGCTTATGCCAGTCTGCACCTTAGAGCAATTGTTTGACCAGTTAGTAAATTCTATGATCCCCAGTGTTTAAGCAATTGCTTAGAAAATCTATTAACAAATTAAGGCAATTTATCTGTAGTCTTGACGTTATTGCTTTTCTTGGTACATTCAAAGGGTTTGTTAATTTCATGAGTGTGAACATTTCTCTTATTGGCTTAAATACTTGTTAGTTAATCAAGTGAAACGTGAAGGAAAAAACAGCACTGTGATTGTATGTCCTAGGAAATGCATTGGGCCATGCTTATGTATTTTTCTAATACACATTCTTAACTGTAAACAATTTTTAATTCGAGTCTTTTCCCATTTGATACCCAAAGAAGGCTTACAATTTTGGTCATATGCACTGATATGAGTGTTGTTTCCGTTGGTGTTATTTTATTTCATGGATGATATCTTGAACCAACGGTCTTTCGGAAACAACCTCTCTACCTCCACGAGGTAGTGGTAAGGTTTACGTACACTCTACCCTCCCCAGATCCCACTTTGTAGAATTTCACTGGGTATGTTGTTGTTGTTGATGGTGCCTTAACTATTTTCTTGCTTGTAGGTATTTGATTGAGGATTATGTTATTGGAGGGTAATACCCTGAAGCTTTAAGGAGGGAATGCATGGATGTAGTGTTGGATCTGATGTTATAGTCAATGCCGGGATTGATTCCATGGGAGGATTTGTTGAAGGCGGAGTGGGTATTGGTACCAAAACTTCTCCGCACACAACTGCAATTGAGAAGGTTCGAGCAGAAATAAGGTAATCCTAGCATTCTCTGCTTCTTCAACCTGCTAGGTTAAGTTTTGGGATTGTAAAAAGTACTCTATCTAAACTTATGGTGAGATTTCTTCCTGTTAACAGGCAGGAGTGCAGTGGCCAACATGAAACGAAAAGACAGTTAGAATTTCTAGAGGAAGTATGAAAGGCAGTTTAATTCTTGTTAGATGTTTGGATATTCTTTACTTGTGCCTTTGACATGATTTGATACTTCAAATTGCAGGGTGGCGATCCCCTGAATTTCAAAATTGTGGATGCTGCTTCATTTAGTGTTCAGTCCACCTCACTGACAGATAAACATCCAGATCAGTTTGTGACCAGGTAATCTCTCAGGTGTTGTGTTACTTTTTCTTATCTGTGTTTGTTACAGTTGTCTTATTATTATTTTGCATTGCAGTGAAATAAAAGGTAGTTTTGCAGTTACCACTTCAGCTCGTGGAGACTCAGTTGAAAGTAGTGGTCGACCTGTGGCTCCTCAACTTTGTGAACCCAACAGTGCTGACAATCTCATGCTGTTTGATGGGGAAAACAAATTTGTTGGTAGTGATAGGGGCCATAGACATCCCAGTAGGAG